GCTGGGTCATAGTCAGACACTAATTAAAAATACAAACACAGGGCTCTGGAAACCTGGGCTTCTGTGGGTGTATCTGGTAGGGAATGTAAGCATCTATTTTCTTTTCCTCATCTCCTGCTCGAATCAATCCACCTGAAATCTGTACACTGAGAACCTGAATGTATACATGAATTCTTAGTAACAAATACCCCTAGACTTTATACCTCTATTTATATAGAAACTCTATTATAGAAATCCACAGCTTAACAAACAGAAGATTTGCCTCATGTCTTCACGAATCCATGGATTTCAATTATACGAAAACAGATTAAACTATGTTCCCATTTTTAAAGAAATACTTCTATAAAATTCGAAGATAGCTCAAAACATTTAAGCTGTTGACGTGCATGTACTTGTGCTCCATATGCTCTATTGTGATCAATTTGTTTGCCTGCCATTGTGTAGTCTACACATATACGCAAGACTGTAGTTTACGATAAATATGTAACTACGAATACACTTTCCAAAACACTTTAGTAAGTTAAGTAAATCAACAAAACCCACCTCTCTATAGCCTATACTTCCTTTGCCAGAATAGCCGGACCAAGCAGGAAATATTCATCGTGCATATGAAACAACTTTTAGTTCGTTCATCATGTAAGTTCTCGATTCTTTCTATCAAAACTATCGGCACTCGCAGGCCAGTCTGAACCCCGTGCTTTCCTGCTGAATGAGTCCGCATTTTAAAAGCGTTTATGGGCTGATTCGTTTCCCTTTCACCGCATATAACTGTCTGCGAACTTAGCTGCACATATTTCTAAAGGGCTTCAGCAGCGGTCAACCAAAATAACCTCACATCACAGCGCGTGAAATGAGCTCTCTTACCTTTACCTGGCGGGTTAATAGCTGCTCTTATCGCTTATTTCAGCTGTAAACTGCACATTTAGTAGTTGAACAGAGCGTTGCTCTTTAAACTCTGATTATAATCGCGCGATTCACTTTTGGATGAAAAGGCGTTGAGTAAAGACTAGCCCTCAAAGCTGTAGCAGTGCGTTTTTAAATAGAATTTGTTCTCGAAATATGCAAAAAAATATCTTAACTCTCGCTTTAAAACGTGGACTTTCACCTCACATCACTTTATTTAAGGGGGAGTTACTTTATTTTGTATGGGTTTACTTATGATTGTCCATATTAATACAAAAGTTGCACTTTTTAAAAGTTGCACGTGTTATTGTGCGACAAAACAGTTCATAAATAATGTGGTGAAGGAGCTCGCGACTGTTCAATAATCATACACCAATAATTAATCTTCTTATCTTGACTACACTTTTAGGGGGTGAAAGACAGTGTCTCCACCTAGTGGATATCGTACAGATGGTTATCCAGACTAAATGTAGTCTTAATATAGGCAATTTCAAAGATTTTCTAAGACATGTTAAAAATCAAACAAAAAAAAGTGAAATAATAAATAAATAAAAACACTCCATTTCTCATGACACATCACATGCATAATGCATTCATACTGTAGATGCAGCAATCGAGATCATTATGGGTGACAGAGGGAGTATCATCATCCATCCATTTGAAAGTGAAGTGAAAGCAAATGAGTAAAAATCATGATCCATCATGAATACATTACACAGGTTTCTAATATAGGTCACAAGAGCTGAACTCAATACACAGTGAGCAAGAAGCGCCAACTCATATTCCACTGATTGTGTGGCGCTCTTGAGTGACAGATATAAAACATCTAATTCTCTTTTTGACAGAGGCCCGAACAGCACAATGTTACTTTTGTAATAATAATAGTGTTTTCAGACATAAAATATTGAATATTAAAGTTTTAAAGTTTTCACATGCTATACTGGTTGTCAGGATCATAATTTGGTGGAAAAGCACTGGTTAACCGCTATAGTAACTTTGATATTTGATACTAATCCTTTAACAAGTTGCTGTGCGTACATTTTTTTATTTCATTGTGAAAAGGTCAGTGTGATTTTTTTTTCATTCAGCAAGGATGTATTAAATTAATTATTAGCTTAATTAGATATTTGTTTAATGAACCAAGTGATGGTAAAGACATAATGTTACAAAAACCCAACTGTTTTCAACATTGATAGTAATGAAATGTTTCTTGAGCAGCAAATCAGTATATTAGAATAATTTCGGAAGGATCATGTGACACTGAAGACTGAAGTATGGCTGCTGAAAATTCAGCTTTGGCATCAAAGGAATGATTTACATTTAATATAAATACAAATAGTTATTTTCGATTGTAATAATATTTTACAATATTACTATCATTTACTCTGTTTTTTATCAAATAAATGCAGACTTTGCGAGCATTAGGCTTTTTTTAAAAACTTTTTTTTTTTTTTTTTTTTGGAATGGTATAGTGTTTTCCTCATGTTTTGGTGTGAGTTTTAACAGTAAGTTCAAATACTGCCTAAGGGGTTTAAATGCATGCAGCAGTAGTCCGCTACAGTGGGCTTACTGGATGATGCTGATAAGGTGCCTGGTGCTGAGAGCTCTCTTAATCCCAGTGTGGGTCCTGATGAGAACCTTCCTCCTGCCCATATAACTGGATGCCCCTGTCCCTGATCAAACCTGTTTGCTTTGCAGCGGGAATGTCCTTCAGGCTCTATCACACACAGCCTTGCACACTCATTCTGCCAAGTGTTTATGTATGTGTGCTGTGCATCAGAGGGTATCTGGAAAGATTTTGGTTTTGCTTTGTTAAACCAGTTAAAACCTAACTAAATTTTGGGGCTGTCAACAGATTAAAAAAATAAATCAAAGATCAACTTGCTAATAAAAAAAAGTAAAAAATGAATAGTATGTAAGATATTTATTTATTTTATTTATTCATTCAACAGTTCTTTCTGGTCCTTGAATCTGATTGGCTGAGAGGAGTGCGATATTCTAATGATAACAGAACTCCAACCATTTATATGTTTCACTCCACTTGTGGTATTTTTCACAGCTAGTGTCATGGAAGATGCCCAAATCCACTGTCTAATTTTATAATTAATACTGTTTTTGTGTCACGGAATGTTGTTTTAAGAGCTTTCTAGGCAAGAATGTACTTGTTTAGACAAATATGTGGTTTGTTAATAAAGACAATGTCTATTTGAAAATTTGCTTCAACGTTTTTGGAGATTTGAGCTCCAGGGCATCAGGTGTTTTTACTTTAAACAACACCTTGTAAGACGCAGTCAACAAATGCACTGAGAAGCGTTGTCATAAAAAAAATCACCCTTACAGATAAAAGGATAATACGACAAAGATATCGTTTTCTTCAACAGACATTCAAACTAATGTTTTATTGTGAATATGAGCTGATGAATGAATGCTATATCAGATGCAGGTAATCACACTCACCAGTCCATCTCTCTCTCATAATACTCTACATAATACAGTTATCTTTTAATACATTGCTACAATAAGCTTTCAGTGAAGCAACTCCTCATTCCTTTGTTATGCATTGTAAAGTGACGTTTTCGAATTAGTAATGGTGGCTTGGGCTCAGCTGTTAAACTGTCAACTTGAGATTTGAATCTGTGGCGGAAGGAAGTAATTTGCACAAAAGAGGGCTTTTTAAGACACTCCGTTGTTGTTTCTTATGTATTTGAACAGTTGAACTGTTGTATAAATGCAATAGCACACTCGTAGCAGTGCGATATAGCTGTATATCGGCACGGCACTGCAATGCGTGTGATATTGTTCATATATATATATGTATGTGAGCAGCAGCTATGTTAAGTTGGTGTGTTGTGTTGTAAAGGAAATGTCACTCTAACTTACCAACATCAACAGAAAAGCACTCTGGTGTTTGAGAAAACAGGAAGTATTAATATAAAAAATATTTAAAAACTTAAAAACCTTTTCTTTTAGTGTTTGTGGAGCTTGTAGATGATGTGTTGATTTTAATACTGCTAGGCAAACAAAGGATGTCAGATGATAGATAGGTCAATGATCTCATTAAAAAAATATAAAAAGAAATGTAAAAAATTCATACATACAATGACTTGAATACACCTCTACTATGACAAACGTGTTTTTAATTTTCGAATTAAAATTAGAAAAAAGAAACAGAAATATCAGGGTGATACAACTGTCCTGAAATCATATTTTTATTTTTTTAAAGCCTCAAGGAATTAAATGACTGAAACTGAAAATATAGCTAGTTATAGGAATAATATTTTAATATTGTTTTTAATTTTTAATTTATTATTAATTGTTTAAAAAAATTATAACAAAAAAAAATTTATTTATTAAAAATATATATACTGCTTATTAGTATTTGACAAACTTGTGTCCACAAAATTAAAGTATTGGTGTGATCAGAAACATTCTGTAAATATGCAGAGAAAAAGAAGCAAAGAATATTAGCGAAAAGAATACAGCATGAATACAAAGTACATTTGTTAAGAACTTGACACATGGGTTTAAAAAGGATTTTCCTTTTCTTTGCTGTATTATGTTGTATTTTATACAGAATGTGTTTTAACTTTAAAATTAAAATCTTAAGAGCATCTCTTTGTTTTGGTTCTCAGAAATATCACAAATTGAGTTTCTCTGTGAGCCCTTTGACCCTTGCACACCTGAGAATGATGCACAGGTGTGTGCTCCATCTGACCCTCCATGTGTGAAAGAAATGATAAATGCCAGCAGTCAACACACACGTTCTGAAGGCTAGTATCTGTGTAAGACTGAAATGGATCTGCAGCTTGACCACAACAATACCTCACAGTCAGGTGAGATAGTTGTTTATTATGATTTCATGTTTCAATATTACTGTTTGTTGTCTACAGTAATAACTGTGTGCATGTTGTATGTTTCATAGAAGAGCATGTGATGGTGCTACTGACAATGAAGGCAGGCAATCTCTCTGGATGGAACATTAGTGAGTTTGCGTTTCTCAACAACACTGATCTATACACTGGACCCCAAAACGACCAGAGACTGTTTTATTGCTACCTCCCACCAGACAACAGCAAATGTCCAGATCTGAACATATCATGCAAGAAAAAAACACCAGCCCTCCAATACAAGACACCTCCGTTTTAAAAACCACTACTTCTGCGAACCCAACTGCCTTTTCACTCAAAACGACTACACTGTCTTTCCGAGCAACAGCTTCTACAGATGAGCTGAAGTGTCAACCAACCAGCAGCAGTTTCCTCTTGTACTACCAGGAGAACAATGAAACAGCAAGATCTGCCGCATTACCAGTGATCCAAACAAGAAAAGGTGAGAAACTGTCAGAAAAATGTTATCTGCCACAATGCCATGCTACACACAAAAAACGACAATAAACCTGACCTTAATCATTTAAAATAAAATTATATTCCTCTTGTCAGTCTAAATAAGTAAATGTATTATTACTATTAGTATTATCTGAACACTAAGACTTGTCTGCAGTATGAAGCACAAATGTGACCCTGGACCACAAAACCAGTCATAAGGGTCAATTTGTTTAAAGTTAAATTTTTCCTTTCTCTTTGGAGTGTTACAAGCTCTTGGTGCATAAAGAAGATCTGTAAAGTTGCAAAGACTAATGTCTCAAATGTGAGTATCTGTGTAAGACTGAAATGGATCTGCAGCTTGACCACAACAATACCTCACAGTCAGGTGAGATAGTTGTTTATTATGATTTCATGTTTCAATATTACTGTTTGTTGTCTACAGTAATAACTGTGTGCATGTTGTATGTTTCATAGAAGAGCATGTGATGGTGCTACTGACAATGAAGGCAGGCAATCTCTCTGGATGGAACATTAGTGAGTTTGCGTTTCTCAACAACACTGATCTATACACTGGACCCCAAAACGACCAGAGACTGTTTTATTGCTACCTCCCACCAGACAACAGCAAATGTCCAGATCTGAACATATCATGCAAGAAAAAAACACCAGCCCTCCAATACAAGACACCTCCGTTTTAAAAACCACTACTTCTGCGAACCCAACTGCCTTTTCACTCAAAACGACTACACTGTCTTTCCGAGCAACAGCTTCTACAGATGAGCTGAAGTGTCAACCAACCAGCAGCAGTTTCCTCTTGTACTACCAGGAGAACAATGAAACAGCAAGATCTGCCGCATTACCAGTGATCCAAACAAGAAAAGGTGAGAAACTGTCAGAAAAATGTTATCTGCCACAATGCCATGCTACACACAAAAAACGACAATAAACCTGACCTTAATCATTTAAAATAAAATTATATTCCTCTTGTCAGTCTAAATAAGTAAATGTATTATTACTATTAGTATTATCTGAACACTAAGACTTGTCTGCAGTATGAAGCACAAATGTGACCCTGGACCACAAAACCAGTCATAAGGGTCAATTTGTTTAAAGTTACATTTTTCCTTTCTCTTTGGAGTGTTACAAGCTCTTGGTGCATAAAGAAGATCTGTAATATTTGGCCAATCACAATGCACTGGATAGCTGGCCAATCAGAGCGCACCTAGCTTTTCAGACCGATGAGCTTTGTAAAAATCGACGAGTTTCAGAAAGGCGGGGCATAGAGGAGAAACAATAATGTACTGTATGTGGAAAATAATGTGTTTTTTTAACCTTAAACCCCTTTAAATCGAGATTTATACTTCAACTGAAAGCTGAATAAATAAGCTTTCCATTGATGTATGGTTCTTTAAAGTTGTCCAAATTAAGTTCTTAGCAATGCATATTACTAATCAAAAATTAAGTTTTGATATATATTACAAAATATCTTAATGGAACGTGATCTTTACTTAATATCCTAATGATTTTTGGCATTAAAGAAAAATCGATAATTTTGACCCATACAATATTTTGTTGACTATTTCTACAAATATACCTGTGCTACTTATGACTGGTTTTGTGCTCCAGGGTCACATATAAGAACTGATAATAAGAACTGATTCAAGGACAAACAGAGTGTAACGTGAATAATACACTGTAAACAATGGAACAAGCTATCTACTTAAAAAAATTATGGTAACAATATTACACATAATATTTTTGAGTAGTTTTTAAGGCTTGATTTTTTTTTTAATGGAATCTACCTGAATAAATCATGTAAAATCATTCTAAATTAATTAATGTATGACAAAATGAATTTAATATAATTAATGAAATTTTCTCAATTATTTTAAGTTGATTCTCAAAAGTCTATGATTTTGAGTGAGGCCTGTTTATATTTGACTTTAAGTGATTTTTTACATAAAAAAGACTGTTTACAGCCAACCAGCTAAAGTAGGAACATATTTGAGCAATACTGGCATATACTGCACTAGCAAAGCTACTGCTCATTGAACAAAGCTTATTGCCTTAGAAAAGTATAGTAGCCATAACCATAAGCTCTACTCTTCTGCACAATGGTAACGATTGCACTGCACAATGAAAACTTCAAGTAACTTCAAACTCTTTCAAATGTCAAACATAACTGAACATTAAACATTAATAGATGTTTCCCTTCACTCAAAAACACATAAAATAGCATTTAATTTCAAAATGTACTCTCCATATCCAGCCATATGCAAAGCATGCTGGGAACTAACAATCATCTCTAAAATAAAACTGCAAAATTGAGCTAATTCTTCTAAAATAAATAGATAGCCTTCTTTCCTTAATTTTTTTAAAGTTTAATCAGTTCCTCAATTCAAGCCTCAAAACTGCTTAAGTTTCCTTTTAAAAAAAATTTGGAAAACACATCTCTTGGTTTTATTAGTAAAAAGTCCTCAATATTTTCTATACAACACTGAACTGAACTGAATGAAATATACACACTATTTTTAATTATCACCTTCATTTTTTTTAATGACCCATGATTCATTTTTTACATTTTTATACATAAGAATAAATAATTTTGAAAATATTTTAATTTCAGCCATTACAACATATTTTTACAATATGTATCAAATATATATATTTTTCCCCAACACATACTTCTACACTGTGATTCATTCTCACCCAAGTCTCTCCACATCCCTCATAAATTCCTTCTGAAGGAGAGCTGGGTCTGTCTTTTATCCTGTCTATTGATTCAGGCATGGAAGGAGACAGCAGGACTTCATAATTCAACCTAACTTTTGATATAGTATAGCAAAACATCAAGCCAGTCTACTCAGTGTTTGACTTATCCGAAACCACAAATCCTTTCAGACAGCACACTTCCAGACTCATACAAGGTTATTTGAGTTAATGTACATGTAAAATGAACTTGGCAAGACAAGGGGATAGTGTAAACTTGGTGCGTCTGGTGTTTAAGTATTGTATACATGCTGTATTGTTTCTTCATGTTTCATTCATGTATGTTACGCTGCACTCTCTTTTAAGTATTCTGTTGCTATTGTCCTTCAATTTTCTTGTTGTTAGATGACTGGTGGTGTGTGATTACTTCGGTGTGGTTGGCTCTGGTACTGACTGTGGTTGTGCTAACCCTATTGAGTGTGGGCAACCTGATCTTTAAGAGCAGAAAACGTGAGTATCACTTCTACAAAACAAATCTAGTCAGGCCCAACAGACATTTTCAACTTGGAATCCATAATTACAATATAATTGAGAATGCTACGTGGATCTCATTTTGGTCTTCTCACTTTAGGAAAGTCCCGTTCAGGTGCATCTGTGCCAGTTTCAGTCCGTGGACATCAGCTCAAAGAGCTCAGTAAGCAAAAAGAAAATTGTGAGTCACACTGGCAAGTATAGAGCTGCAAAGTTTTTCTATAATTGTGCTAATCAATTCTCTCATTTTTACTTTCAGTAATGAGTGCTGTCCCTGCTGTGTCCATAGCAACGTGCAGCATAAGTGGTAAGCAAGTGTCCTTGTTAAACAATCATTCTTCATTTGTGTAAATAAATAAATGACAAAAAAAGTACCATATCAGGTACAATGGTACCATGGCACTGAGTGATTGCCACATTCATAATAATATAAATATGATATTTAAATGGTCCTCCAAGGATCGTCAAAGACTTGGTCAAGTCAAGTTACTTTTATTTAGCGCTTTACACACAATATCGATTATTTCAAAGCAGCCATGATATACCATGGTATTACCATGGAGCATGACCCCAAAACCATGGTAATACCATGTTCAAAAATAGAACTGGATCAAGGGAACTGATAGAAGGAAGGTTGATAGATTTCAGTCTCCTTCATCTCTACAGATGGTGATGTATTCTCTGAGAAATCTTCAATGCGGAACAGAACAGAAGGTAAACAAACAACCTGTTCTATCATACTGCACTCTTTTTACCCAGAAGAGCTCTGTGCTTTATCACAATGCAACCCTTACATCTTTACCTAGCACTGAGTTTCCTTACTCGAATAGAAATTCTCCAGACCACTAACTCTCAATCTACACTTTCCCAGAAAACCTTCTGAAGGTAGCTGACCTCACATACAAGATTTTTTTATACAGTGTGGCAGAGTACAATAATTAAAGGTGAAGTGTATGTAATGGTGGCTAACTCCCGAAAAGCAACAATTTAATTATGACACTCGTGATGAAAATTCTGTCATCATTTACTCACCACATGCTGTTCCAACCAGTTTGACTTCCTTCTGTGGGATATAAATAAAGAAGTTTGTGCAAATGTTCATGCCACTTCATTTCCATATAATGAAAGTGGATGGGGTTCAGAGAATGGCAAGCTTCAAAAGAGACATAAAAAGCACACATGTGCCTCTTCTTGAGCCATATGATAGCTTTGTGTGCCATTTTATGGGCTGTGGTCACCATTCACTTTTATTAAATGAAATAGCAGACATTCTGCAATGTATAATTATTTTCTGTTCCCTGGAAGAAGTTTGAGTTTAACTATTACACACACCCACTATCACATACCATCAAAAACAGTATGTGTGTGTACTGTGTAGGTAATTGCATCCAGTATATAACACCTGGTTTCCTATACAGCATATTTGTATATTCCCTTAGGCCTATATATTCATGGTATGTGTGTGTAATTTTTTTTTATTGTCTCTGATGTTTTAGGTTTGTTACCAATCTATGAGATCACAGGTATGAATGGGACACATTTACATATTCTTTCAATAAACAAATCAAAATACAAACACAATAGAGCCTGCTTTCAGATGACTAGCATTGAATAAACATATTCCAAGACACAAATGACAAATTATAATCAAATTTCACACATCTAATTTTGCTGTAAATTATCTTAACTTTTATTAAATGAAATAGCAGACATTCTGCAATGTATAATTATTTTCTGTTCCCTGGAAGAAGTTTGAGTTTAACTATTACACACACCCACTATCACATACCATCAAAAACAGTATGTGTGTGTACTGTGTAGGTAATTGCATCCAGTATATAACACCTGGTTTCCTATACAGCATATTTGTATATTCCCTTAGGCCTATATATTCATGGTATGTGTGTGTAATTTTTTTTTATTGTCTCTGATGTTTTAGGTTTGTTACCAATCTATGAGATCACAGGTATGAATGGGACACATTTACATATTCTTTCAATAAACAAATCAAAATACAAACACAATAGAGCCTGCTTTCAGATGACTAGCATTGAATAAACATATTCCAAAAGACACAAATGACAAATTATAATCAAATTTCACACATCTAATTTTGCTGTAAATTATCTTACAGACAGGTTAACTTTAAAGTTCGAGAGAGAAATGGATTGTATCATGTGCCACTTGATTTGTTTTTTTTTTGTCTGATTACACTATATGACTTGAAATATTTTGACTAAAATTGGCTTGTTTCCAGAGACCTCACTAGATGAAGAAGAGCAAAATGAAGATGAGGAAGATGAGCAATGTAATGCCTCGGTAACAAAGGAAGGTAAATGTATCTACATAAAAATGAAAATTGTAAATAAATATTAGTATGGTTTTCCTCTTTATAATAGAACTCATTTATTATTTTGGATTAAGAAATGCTCCAACAGTCAAAACCCCCAAGCATTCCATGTGTTTAGAATATTAAACATAGCATTTGTATGCTTTAAATTCAATGTAAGTGGAGACTTAAAGCAAACTAATACTTCAAAAAGATGTCTACTCTGATTTCCTCATTCGTCAGCTGATGTAACACTTTCTGATGTTTGATGATGGTATATACTCTTAGTATTTTGATATCACTGCTAGTTCTTTATCAGTATAGCCTGAAACAGTCTTTGAATCTTGCATGTCTCATCCAGTCACATTGATGATGATTGGTATCTTTGATGCCAGCATGTTGCTCCGGGCAGAATAAATTACTCTACAGATGGCCTCCTGGCAGTCTGATGTTGCCATGGTTATAGAATTCTACAAGATACATTTTTAATAAGAGTTTTTAAAAAATCACATCAGCTCCAACATCTGGCAGCACAGGGCCACTGTGAACCACCAAGTAAGTGACCATGTTTCCAGTCTAATTAATGAGCTAAGCTGTTCAGAAGCATTCATTTGAAGTGTTTGTCACTTTACACCCTTCTCCATTCTCTTTTTTCCATGTCTAGCTTACCTGGATCATCGGAGCAACTTTTCATGTTCTGGTCATGAAGAAGATGGGGAGCTTTAACCCTTTAAATCTAAGAGAGCAGAGGCACTTTATTAAAACAGAAAATATATTTGTTTACAACACGACAGAGGCCAGATAACTTCATGCTTTCTCCATAGATAAACATCATGTTAAAGTGTCTGTAAGTGACGTTAGGAGTTCTAGAACTGATAATGAATTACACAAGTATCCTGTTCTACAAGCCCATCGCTTGGACACAACCATAGTGACCAAGCAATATACACTGCTCCAGAAAATCAACACAATGTATCAGCCAGGAATTATAAGGAGAGCAGGTGTCTGTGGCCACCACCTACAAAACCATTCCCTTTATGGGGGTCATCTTGCTGCTGCCTCTCCAATGCACCTGTTGTCACATTCATTAGCACCAAAGCATGTAAAACTGATTCATAATCACTTATGATTCCTAACTGGAAAGATTAATATCCCTGATGTTTAAACATTTTGCACAAACCAAACTCATATAAGTTCATCTTCCGTGCACTCATCTTCCAGCTTTCAATATATGCACTGCCCAACATTACTGAGAGTGCCTCATCTGTAAACATTTCTAAAAGTTGTTGTACTGCGTCTTTGTGTGTGTTTAAAAGCTGCTTTTGTAGGTTTCTTCCACAGATCTGCAATTGACAGTATTGGCGTTATCTTAACTACAGGAATATTCATCACAATATAGTGTTATGTCACACACAGTCTCAACAAAATCTGTTTGCCCAATGCTGAAATAAAATGAGAGGGAAGATTTCTGTGACTAGGCTGAAAACATAAACCATAGTGCATGGTTCTCCAACATCCATTTAGCAAGCAGCATGGCAACACTAATGTGATTTCATAATTATACAACACCAGTCTTAAGCTCCTGTGGCTATTAAAGTAATACTCATGTTTCCATAATGCACTTTTTATATTCACGTCATCTTAAAATGTACAGAGATTTGTAACTGGTGCTGAGAATATTTTCACAACAGATGCTGAATAAAAACACAACAGTACTGAGAATTTCAGTTTTTAGTTTCCTATTATTTATATTACAGATTATACTATTACCATAGATCTTGGTTCATTTTATTCAAAACAAAAACTGGTAATGGTGTATGAGTGATTGATTAATTAAAGTGAATGGTAGTGGCAGACCTCCAAATTTGCTCAAACAATACAACACATGATTAATAATCTTAATTTTTTGTAAAGTAACTTAAAAAAAATTATACATAAGCAGCTTCCTAAATAAGTTAGGAGTTTCAATCTTATTTTCCTAATTATCTCATTGTAAGAGTCTATATATAGACTAGAATTGCACTTTTTGGTGTAAGCTCTCATATTGAAGCAACATACCTAAACACAAAACACAGATACAGACAGAAACACACACAAACAGAATACAGGCACTACTCTGTGGATGCTGCTTCTGGGGCTGGCTTGGCCGCAGTTCTGCTGGTCTGGATGTGTGAGACCTGAAGAACAGGCAACAGCAGCTGGAATGCATTGTGAATGTAGGTAGTGCTATTACACCCCTGAGGAAACAAGACACACAGTGTAGTGATGAAGGGTCATCATTATCATAACTACAGTCATTATAATTAGCATCATCAAGTCCCCTATCGCAGTCTCCTCATTTGTCAACTGCATTATGAAAAAAAATATCACATTCAGTTTTACCTCCAGCATCACACTGTCCACTAGAGGATTTACTACTTCTGCTTTTCTCTGACTCTATAGGGTCAGAAAAGAGAGAGACAAAAAAACAGAAAGATGTTAACTCTAAACTTCAGCACAAAAATGTTATAATTTTTATTTAAAAGCAACAGTATACACCTTTTATACATAATAGTATAACAGTATCTATATTTTAATCACAAATACATTTCAATTACTGATTTTTAATAGTTTTAGTTAAATGATAACAACACGTGCAACAGCATTTGACAGAATAAGACTATGAATGTGCATTAAGAAATTAAATGGGGTCAGTTATGTCATCAATAATGTTTTCAGAATGAACTGAGCACAGGTCAGTCAGACTCACCCCTGCAGCCAGTAATGTGTCCGAGAACTTTCGGGCCAGGCATCTGACCTCCTTACACATGGCACTGGTTAACCTGAGCATACTCAACAGTCACTAAACAGCTAATAAAAAGATTGGTCTAATAACGTCTTATGGAAATGGCCAAGGAACTCACCTGACCAGTATACTGGCCTGTTGGCTGGCTGGCTTCTCCAGCTCTTGTCCGTGTAAAATCAACTCAGCCACTTTGTGTAGCTGTTCTATACTACGAGCGGTCACCTCAGCAAGACTGCCCACTGATGACACATATACTTTCTATACACACAAAAAGACACATTTAAATAAACATTTATACACAGAATATTAGAATGATTTCTGAAGGATCATGTGACACTGAAGACTGGAGTAAAGGCTGCTGATAATTCAGCCTTGCCATCACGGGAATAAAATATATTTTAAAATAGATTAAAATAGAATTACTAGTTATTTTAGATTGTAATATTTTTTCACAATATTACTATTTTTTACTGTATTTTTAATCAAATAAATGCAGCCGTTGCGTAGATGTAGTGATAACACACTGAAGACATTTCTCACCTTAACAGCATCCGAGTTTCCGTCCTTTGCACTATTTTCCTTATTCTCTCCCTCTTCTCCCTTCTCTTTCTTTTCTTCTACTTCTTTCTTTTCCTCCTTTTCTGGAGCAGGGCAAGTGGTGGAGCTCTCTTCCTTTAATTCCTCGGTTACATTCTTGACATCTTCCCAGGATTGCTCCACTTCTCGCACCCAATCATGAGCTTTTATACGGGCCTGCAGGGCACACTGTATAATTAGTGTTTATGCTTGTGAATAACATATGTGTGTGCTGGAGAGTGCAGGTACACATTTATGTTACATGTGGATTTGCAGTGTGTGTGTGTGTGTGTGTGTGTGTGTGAGTGTGGCCGTACTTTGTTCAGTTTGTCTGGAGTTGCAGCAACATGGAGCTCAAAGAGCAGCTCAGTAAGAACACTGACAAACTCCTCTCCATCAGCAGCTGAAACACACAGATCACGTAAATTTAATACCCAAGGGCAAAAATGTGGAGGACTGAAATATTTATAGTGCTCTGACTGAGTCACCTGTCATATCAAATCAATGTTTGTTCATTGAGATGTGCTAATATTAGGTTTTCCAATACTTGGTGATTTCAACCAGAATTATAGACTACAAAATCATTTCACAGCCATAATAATTATTTATTATTCATTTTAACACAAAGTCTATGATTGGATTTTAAAAATAAAGGTATGAATGTGACGTTTTACCTTGATTAATCTACAGTAATGCATAAATTGTAATACAGATTTATCTAGCACAGTATCTTGATTGTGGTCTGGATTTGACTGTGATCTGGATTTGTCTAAATATGTTTTGGCATTTGAAGACTCACAGAGAGGAGTGGAACACTGAATTTGTGAATAAAGTTCACCGTTTTCCCCTGCGGCAGCATCAGGTTCCTCCTCGTCATGAGTGATGAAGATCTCTTTAATTGCAATCAGCTCCTCCTTCATAACTTCCAAATCTTCCTCCTCCAAAGTGGACAAGAATTCCTGCACCTGAAATGAGGAGAGATACATGATGAGAAGGATTTCTTGTCTAACTTATTAGATATGCTGCATTTATTTGATCAAAAATACAGTAAAAAGTAATATTCTGAAATATTACTATCATTTAAACTCTAAAATGTAATTTATTCCTGTGATGGCAAAGCTGCATTTCCTGCAACCACTACTCTAGTCTTCAGTGTCACATGATCCTTCAGAAATCATTCTAATATCATGATTTGGTGCTCAAGAAACATATCCTATTACTACCATCAATGTTGAAAACAGTTACTCTCAAACTGAAGTTGCTGCCCAAATGAAGTTCATTTATTTTTTAACAGATTTTTTTTAACAAATTAGTCTTTGTTGTCACTTTTGATGAATTTAATGCATACTTGCTGAAAACAAAAATGCCTGAGCACAGTTGGTTTATGCTAGTTTCATGTCAATAGTATCACTCAGTAGTCTTTTTCTTCACACATTTAAGTTCATATTAATATTTAATGTGCATTTGTTTATTTATTTGATAAGTAACTGTGTAATAATTGGATAACTATACAGTGAGTCGATCATTCGTGCAAAATAAACGTGTAAAATGTATTATGGGTAAATGCAAATGGTGTGTGTTACTAACCCTCCCTTCACTCTCATTGGAAAGTATCTCCAGTGCCTCAAGATGAGACAAGCCTTGGTAATCATCAAACAAGATCCCATAGTGGGCGGTTGGGTCTGTGACCATTTGACTGCTCAGTCTCTCTCTCTCCTTTTCCTTCGCTTCTTTTAACATCTGCAGACATAAGCACATACACTGAAAATATGGCAGAATTTTCCAACAAAACCACTGTATCTTCTAGTATCCGAGGTAAGGCGGTTGTAGGCACTCTGCTGGGTAACAGCACCCAATAATCATGGTGAAAACTATTATTTGAGCATTTGTTGACCATCTTACCTGAGACAGAGAGACAGTTCTCTGCATCAGTATTTTGGTCTTTTTAAAACCTGGGTCACTCTCTGCCAAGACATTCATGGTCTTCTTTCCAATGAACTCCAAAGCATCAAGGCCTCCTGTTATTACTGACTTTCCCTGATAAAGCAAGAGGGAGAAAAATTAATTAGTTTCTACGATGAAGGGACAAGAAACATTCATTCATCTTAGGTGATTCAATCACAAGCGGTCAGCCGAGACTTATTACTATCTCAAATGCCTCTCCAGATTCATCAAGTGTAGCGGCTGATTTTGTTACATGTCAGTGATCATGGTAAATCACGGTACGGCTAATGATGTGTGTTATACACTCACAGTGTTTTGAACCGCGCTGCTGATGGTTGACAGGACTCCTCTGTGCACCTCCTCTGAATGAACATGTTCTGCCGTCTCTGCCCCAGAATGCTCATGAGCCTCTTCTGCCTCCTCACATGATGAGCTCTGACGGATTCGTAATGCCACACCTGCTTTCTCTTTTACGGAGCTTAACCCTTGACCTAGACACAATCAAAAGATAGAAAAACACTCAACTTTAGGGCTGCATTTGCCTGCAAGGGCTAATGCATAGAACAGATATTGACACTGATCTATTGTTCTGATAGTTTACATTCACACAACTGTGTTTACAATAATATCTACTATGACACAATGAGCTGACAATAGCAATTTCTGCATTTAGAAGTTAGGTCTTAGTATTATGCCTCACATGTGTTTTTATATGAATGGCAACTAATACAACATTGTTTTGCAAGTACTTGTTCTGTATGCAACTTATGATGTGCTGTAAGTCACCACAGTCTCTTTGTTTTTTTGTGTCTCACACACCCCAAAAAATTATTAAATAAATAAATACATGAACGGATGAAACAGCTGGCCATGACTGGCTGTGATTGACAACAAACTAACTTCTGATTAGACAGCTGAGCTCTGATTAAGGTTTGCAAAATAACCAAAAATCGAGCAGTGACACAGATGATTAGGAAAACAGCGAAAAGAAAAAAATGATGTTGCTCTTGTGAAATATCAAGTCACATTATAAAAATACGTTGCTCAGACAGACTCATTTCTCAAAAATGCAGATATAAATTGGCTTGTTGTAGTGCATACAAAATAACTGGGTATTATTTAGGAGAGTAATGCTAATGGGTTGCTAATATAATTTCTATAATAATTTGGAATCAATCCTAAAAGGAGCAAGAACAATTTGATCGAGAACATTTTTTTGTTGTTGTTTTTTTTTACCTAGCAGGATCTTATTTCCGTTTTAGTGGATTCATTTTTCAATACATTGCTTCCAAATTACACCAGGAATTTCATTAGGATTTTGATTTCTGGCATTTCAATAAGAAAGATTTGCAGTCAGGTTGGTCAAATACACTACAGCTTCAGACATAATGTGAATACACACATACATGTGCAAGTAAGGCTTATGATTCACCTAAATCATATTTGATGTTTTTAATCTAATCAATGTCAAAAGTTTTGTGTTATGGTTAGTTTTAGATTTGGGTTTAGCAACTATTCATCACCTCTATAGCTATAAACAGAAACCCACAACGCTTATGATTATTAATATATTTATTAATACATATCTTGAATATACCATTAATTAACTCGGTAAAACCGTATTGTACGTGTGTGTGTGAACAGAAAAGCTTTGACAGAACAGCATTCAGACACATTATAGAGCACAGCGCTGTCCCTGAATGGTGCCGCGCTGTCAAGCGCCTTTGTTTAATGCGGATCGCAGCGCCATCTAGCGGTTATTTTAGAAACGCACAGCCACATTCAAACTTTAGTTTGTAAATAGACGTTCAGAATACACACAGACGGTATAAAGCAGATGATAAACCTCAGGTTACACGTTACAGTTTCTATACAATAAAACGTATGCAGTTTGATGATGCCTTAAAGACTGCATTTATATTAACGTTAGCTAAACTCAAACGCCCATGTTTGCTGACAAATCGTTCATTCGTTTTCCCGTTATATTTGTCTTTTTTATTGTAACTTATTTATTGTTAGAATGTTGAAGTATGGTTTGCAAAATAACCAAAAATCGAGCAGTGACACAGATGATTAGGAAAACAGCGAAAAGAAAAAAATGATGTTGCTCTTGTGAAATATCAAGTCACATTATAAAAATACGTTGCTCAGACAGACTCATTTCTCAAAAATGCAGATATAAATTGGCTTGTTGTAGTGCATACAAAATAACTGGGTATTATTTAGGAGAGTAATGCTAATGGGTTGCTAATATAATTTCTATAATAATTTGGAATCAATCCTAAAAGGAGCAAGAACAATTTGATCGAGAACATTTTTTTGTTGTTGTTGTTTTTTACCTAGCAGGATCTTATTTCCGTTTTAGTGGATTCATTTTTCAATACATTGCTTCCAAATTACACCAGGAATTTCATTAGGATTTTGATTTCTGGCATTTCAATAAGAAAGCTTTGCAGTCAGGTTGGTCAAATACACTACAGCTTCAGACATAATGTGAATACACACATACATGTGCAAGTAAGGCTTATGATTCACCTAAATCATATTTGATGTTTTTAATCTAATCATGTCAAAAGTTTTGTGTTATGGTTAGTTTTAGATTTGGGTTTAGCAACTATTCATCACCTCTATAGCTATAAACAGAAACCCACAACGCTTATGATTATTAATATATTAGGTTTTTATATATCTGACCAGTTATGAGCAGTGTTGGGGAAAGTTACTTTTAAAAGTAATGCATTACAATATTGCGTTACTCCATACAAAAAGTAAAGAATTAGGTAATGCTAAATTAAAAACCAAACACAATGACAACACATTTATACAAAATATTCACCATAAAAAGTTTATTGAATGATACATATTTAAATCTATATAATACAAAAAGTGTCTGAACAATTTGTATTAAATTCACAGTCTGATATAATGACACAGCATAATATTCCCTTTGAACTGTGAAAATATAAGTAATTTAGAAAAGACAGAAGATTCACATCTTTATAAAAACATATAATATTTGTTTTGGATTAAAAATATATCATAATCATGCTTTCTATAAATTGCCCGTTCAGTCATTCCATTAAAAACACACACACACACACACACACACACACACACACACACACACACACACACACACATATATATATATATATATATATATATATATATGAATATTTCCATTATCCTATATGATTAGTTAATTTCTGTGATGTGTAGTACAGCTTTGCTGTGGTTTCTACATCAGACCAAGAAACAAACGCTCACACATATATATATATATATATATATATATATATATGAATATTTCCATTATCCTATATGATTAGTTAATTTATGTGATGTGTAGTACAGCTTTGCTGTGGTTTATACATCAGACCAAGAAACAAACGCGTCATCCTTTCTCTTTCTTTGACTCATCTCAATTGTTTCATTAAGGACTTTTTCCTTTCTTATGTAAGCTCCCCCTTGTTCTTTTCCTCCTTCAAAATGTTCTTCAAAATTGTCCTTCAGTTGAGAAGAGAAAAACAGAAACCATTTTATTACAAACTGTTGAACTGCTAAGAAAGAGAAAAATATGGAGATAAAGCCCAAAGCTTAAAGCTATTCATGGGCTCCCATTTACAGATATCTGCCATTTCAAATCTATTTTAAAGTGCACTGTTTCCATTTACACATTGCCCTTTACAAACATTTGTTCACGAAAAAATTATCTGCAAAACCTACAAACAGAAAAATAAGAGTACACTCGTCCCTGCATATATCCATAATTATATAACAAATATTTCACAAACAAAGTGTTAACAGTAAGACAATGTTACCCATAACCTAGATGAACTCACTCTAATAAAATAATGCCCCTTATTGAATGGTTCACATTTATCACATTTCTCCACCTAAACACCCCTCAGTGAAATAATATTTTACCCTTTTGAGCCTTGGACACTGGATTTGATCAAATACAACACGACACAACAACATTTATAGGATTATATGAATATTCATGATTACAGAAATTATTCAAATATGAATAATGGTGAGATTAAGCAAAATTAAGCTTTCTTTAAGTCCTTGCAACTAACATGTATGCGCTGGATGATCAAGTGTTCAATTTTCAGACCAGCCTATTAACATTTAAGACACCGTTTTGACCTCTCACACTTTCTACCTCTATTTTTAAAATGTATGTAGGATAAAATCATTACTATTATTTCATTACTAAATTGTAAATTGTGCATGTGCAAAGTTGCAAGAACTTACACAGTACATAGTACTTACGGTAATAAACTACAGTATTAATTCATGATTACAATTAATAAAACATGCCAATGTTTTACTAGGTCAGGTGCTCGGAAGCTACTTTTGGAACCAAAAACTTTTTGTCAAAATGTAACTCTTTTAAGAGTCAAAGTATAAAGATCCGTTTACACCTAGGACGATAACTATAACGATAAAGATATAGTTCTAAATGTAAAAGAATAGAGTCCACAAATATAACAATAACGCTACAGAGAAACAATATTGTTTACATTTGTTTCAGCTTATGATTTCTACAATCGCTGACAGCCAAACAGAATCCATTCTTCTTTAAAGATCTTGATCTTGAGCATTTAAAGTGGCAGATGACTGCAATGCATGCTTATAATAAACAGAACATTATTGTGCATTGGTGTGGGCACTGTTATAGTTATGGTATCTAGTTATCTTTATAGTTATCATTCTTGGTGTGAACTGACTGACCCAATTCAAACAATCTCAGAAAATACATGAGCTTTAAATCAGCTTTGGTCCTTACACTAAAACATGAAACACACATGCTGAATGCATATACAGGATCTGCGTATACACATTCATGTTTCCAAATAACATACAAAAAGAGAAAAATAAATTCACATTGTGCAGGTTTGACCCGAGTTGCATCTTAAAACAACATTAAAAGTGTGAAACTGTCCGAGTTGTGTTTGTGTATATGCAGTGTTGGGGAAAGTTACTTTTAAAAGTAATGCATTACAATATTGCGTTACTCCATTAAAAAAGTAACTAATTACGTTACTTAGTTACTTTTTATGGAAAGTAATGCATTACGTTACTTTTGCGTTACTTTTTTAATCTGGACAGGGCTTGCTTGTTTGATTTTAAAATAAAAAAAGTTATATTTTTGGCAAATATAAAAGCCTTTTCACAGCAAAAGTGAAATGAATAAGCCTCAGGCTGAAGGGAAAGTAAATTTACGTCCGTACAGTAGAATGCAGAAGAAGAAATTTCAACACACTTCAGCAATAAAAAAAGACACAAATGTTTGTCTAGAGTAATTTTTGCTTATTAGTACGGTTGAACTGGATCATCGAAGGTCAGAAGCAAAGACATTGGTTAATAGAATGGGATTAAATACATAAAGGATATTTGTGTTGTTTAACATTTAATTATTGCAGGTTTGCGTCATATTCTGAGTTGCATTATTTTTATTCATTTAGAGGAATACTGAATCTGTGTTTTGAGTGAAATGAATTAATGCATATTCCTATTTATTTTAGAACTACAGTAACATCTTTTGATTTCTCTCAACATGTGGACAGGAGAGTTGTCAATCAATAAATTGAAAAAAAAGTAACTTGCGTTACTTATTTGATAAAAGTAACTCAGATATTCTCTTGTAAATTAAAAAGTAATGCGTTACTTTACTAGTTACTTGAAAAAAGTAATCTGATTACGTAACTTGCGTTACTTGTAATGCGTTACCCCCAACACTGTGTATATGTGTGTGTGACTGGCTACTGACTGTCAGTATATCATCTATCTATCTATCCATCTATCTATATAGATATAGATACATAACTGTAAATGTATTATGCTTGTTCGTGTAGTGCTGTAACTGGCACAATGGGCCCTCTGACCTGCAGAGGGCAAAATAACGAGAGAGACGTGTATAGAAATATAATGGAGAGAGAGAGAGTGCTTGGTATCAAGAAAAAGACTTGGGTCATATCCACAGCACTACTCCATATCCATAGTAATGGTGACAAAATCCACTTGGATACTAATTCTTTTCATGAAGTAT